TTCAAGCTTTGTTTCAGTCGTACCTGACGGAGAGTCTCGAGTGCTTTAATATACCTTTAAAAAACCCCAAAATTTCAGATGCTATTGGCAACACTGATGTATGAAACAATGCCTTAGACATTGTCATTAACACCTACATTGTCAGGCAAGACATTTTCTCACCAAGTTTCTACGTAATTATAGTAAAGAGAAAAACCTTGTTGCTGAAAAGATCTCATCAAACTTTTGTTTCAGGGCCTTCCCTTCACTTAGTGGCCAGTTGGATTCTTCTTGGTGGCAGAAAATGACGTTGTTAATCACCGATTTGGAAACACCAAGGGCGCTGATCATCTCTCGATCAATTTCTGCACACTTGGAACTCAGACTGACCTTCTCGCCATGCCTATGTAGCACAGATAAAGAAAATTCTTTTAACAGTAAACTGCATTTTTAAGAGTATAATCTCATTGTAACATACCGATTCAAAAACTTAACAAGTAACAACTTTTAAGCATATAATTAGCATGTTCAACACATGCATTTAACACTGTCAGTATTTGTAGCCAAGACTATCACACATTTTAAAACTATGCAGAACCACCAGAGGGAGCAAAAAACGATCTTGGATGAAGTTAAGGGAACACAGTTCATAAACAATGGAGATCAGAGTTAAACACGGGCCAGTAATGACCTGAAACTGAAAAGGGTGCTAAAGGAAGTAAAGCCTACATACTCCACACAACTCTACTTTCAAAACACATCATTATTAATACAATTTTCAAATAAATGCAAGTTAACAGATACAAGTAGTCCTTAAAAGTGGTGCTATCAAATGTAGTATTTTTTGAATCAATTAATAGCTAAAGCAGTGAAACTACACAGCTTTAGTCTAAGAGCACCAGTAGCCACTTCAAGGAATACATTACAAAGTTTTCTCTTGTTTTATACACAAAAATATACAAACCCCAAACCGATCTTCATGCCAAAGTAAGAAAAAAAAACCCTTGAGAACTTACTTTGTTCTAGTAATGACAGCTTCAAGTGTTTTAAATTCTGTTTTCTTGCCTTTCTGGGTACAGACCATGGATCGCTGGACAGCTACGAGCTCTCCATTTACATCTCGAAACTGTAATCGAATCTGAGCTCTAACGTCTGTTTCATTTGCAACCTTTAGCAGAAACAAAAAAGCTAAATAAGGAAAGTTCTTCTCAACATCCACACAAATACGTGCCTACCCAGCTGCGGGTCATGTTCTGATCTCCCCAGCTCTCTGCTTTCCCTGGAACAATGTGGTCAGCTCTTGCCTGCCTAGAACCTGAGCATCCCTGTTTTCATCACAACCCTGAGCGGACTTAAGTATTTCACTTAGGAGCAAACACACATTAAATGTAGTCACTATGACTTTTACCTTTGGATCGTGAACAAACGAGTTTCCTTTGGTGCCAGGAGGAAAATCTCCAGTGGATATGTATTTAAGACATTCAATGATAGTCTAAGAAAACAGAAATAAGCGTATGGTTATAACGGCAATTCTGAGTAAACAAGACGGACTACAAGCAAAAACACAGTAAGAGCCCAAATATTTACAAATGAGTTAAATATGAGAGAAGAGGGAAAGAAGAAATAACATTTTAATTTTTGAGTATCATGAGAATATGGTACTTTGCAGAATTGGTTTTAATCGGGATCTGGATCAATTTCCAATGAAAAATATCAACCAGTGCTCTGCAAAATCCAGGCAGGAAAGCAGATCTCTAATAATGCTAAACAGCACAATACTTACAGTGAACAGCACGATATTTGCAATATTATTAATACCTTTCTGTAGAGGTTATTATTCATATTCTGAGGCCTTTCAGACCTATTTACAGTTCAAAGCCAAACACATAGTAAGCCTTACCGTTTTTCCTGCACCATTTGGTCCCACCAAAATAGTCAATGGACTGAAGAAAGTGATAATTTGTTTGTCTTTATCTTCTACCCCAAAACTCCTCACTCCCAGGATACTCATTTTCTCAATCTTCGACATTTCTGCAGAGCTTCTCTTCCAAAGTCAGAAGTGCAAACGCTATAAATCCTGCAAAATAAAGCTTCGTGAATAATCTAGAAGGCAAAAATCACAGCGTATTACTGAAAGCTGACAACGTATCTATATAAGCACAAAATATTAGGAACATCTTTAAAAACACAGCTAAGGCTCTTCAGTTATGGCTCAGGGTACAGACCATACGAAGGCAAAACTTCATTTTTTTTAAACTGAGAAGCTAATCAACTCCAAGTTAAGAGAAGTGGAGTACTATTTATCATTAAATCGAAAACAATGGCCAAAAATAACCCTTTATTCCACGTCACATAACCCATGCACATGCTTCCAGAATGCCCCAACCACCCCAGAGGCCCCAATATTTTCTCCCCCTTTAAAAATCTACTGTCGCACTCCAACACCCAGCGCTGCCGGAGCTTCGCTACCGCCTCAGCTTCTCACGGGGCCGCATCCAAACCCGTACGGGACATCCAGCACCACCTTGGTCCTGCCGTGAGGGGGAAGAACCAACGCAGGAGCCTCGGCCGGCCATGGCTGCGAGGGCAGGCAGGGCCCAGGGGGCTGTGCACGGCCCAGGGGGCTGTGCACGGCTCGGAGCTGCCCCGGGGCGGGGAACTGATGGAGGCAGCTCCTACACCAAGGCCCGTTGGTGACCCGTGGCAAACACGTGTATTTCAAGCGTATGTTTCTGCGTATTTCAGGTGTGTTTCACACGGCCGAAGAGGGTGCTCAGCGCGCTCCCGCTCTCCCCTCAGGGCTCCCCCCGCCCCGGGCCCAGGCGCTTCCCG